CCATCTGGTGTTATGAATGTACATCTGGTGTTATGATTGTCCATCTGGTGTTATGATTGTCCATCTGGTGTTATGATTGTCCATCTGGTGTTATGATTGTCCATCTGGTGTTATGATTGTCCATCTGCTGTTATGAATGTCCATCTGGTGTTATGATTGTCCATCTGGTGTTATGATTGTCCATCTGGTGTTATGATTGTCCATCTGGTGTTATGAATGTCCATCTGGTGTTATGATTGTCCATCTGGTGTTATGAATGTCCATCTGGTGTTATGATTGTCCATCTGGTGTTATGATTGTCCATCTGGTGTTATGATTGTCCATCCGGTGTTATGAATGTCCATCTGGTGTTATGATTGTCCATCTGGTGTTATGATTGTCCATCTGGTGTTATGAATGTCCATCTGGTGTTATGATTGTCCATCTGGTGTTATGATTGTCCATCTGGTGTTATGATTGTCCATCTGGTGTTATGATTGTCCATCTGGTGTTATGATTGTCCATCGGGTGTTATGAATGTCCATCTGGTGTTATGAATGTCCATCTGGTGTTATGAATGTCCATCTGGTGTTATGATTGTCCATCTGGTGTTATGAATGTCCATCTGGTGTTATGAATGTCCATCTGGTGTAATGAATGTCCATCTGGTGTTATGATTGTCCATCTGGTGTTATGAATGTACATCTGGTGTTATGATTGTCCATCTGGTGTTATGATTGTCCATCTGGTGTTATGATTGTCCATCTGGTGTTATGATTGTCCATCTGGTGTTATGAATGTCCATCTGGTGTTATGATTGTCCATCTGGTGTTATGATTGTCATCTGGTCTGGTGATTATGATTGTCCATCTGGTGTTATGAATGTCCATCTGGTGTTATGATTGTCCATCTGGTGTTATGAATGTCCATCTGGTGTTATGATTGTCCATCTGGTGTTATGATTGTCCATCTGGTGTTATGATTGTCCATCCGGTGTTATGAATGTCCATCTGGTGTTATGATTGTCCATCTGGTGTTATGATTGTCCATCTGGTGTTATGATTGTCCATCTGGTGTTATGATTGTCCATCTGGTGTTATGATTGTCCATCGGGTGTTATGAATGTCCATCAAGTGTTATGATTGTCCATCTGGTGTTATGAATGTCCATCTGGTGTTATGAATGTCCATCTGGTGTTATGATTGTCCATCTGGTGTTATGAATGTCCATCTGGTGTTATGAATGTCCATCTGGTGTTATGATTGTCCATCTGGTGTTATGATTGTCCATCTGGTGTTATGAATGTTCTCAAATACTTAAATTTTTCGAGTTGGTTAAAGCACTTTCCCTTCTATTGCTGTGTCACATTTGGGAGATATCTTCTTCTTTGATATAACCATTGTTTCTGTTTTCTTGATATTCAACAAGAGTCCCCTTTTTTGCACTCTGTAGTAGAACAATGTCAAATAGTTGTTGTAGGTCTTCTGCGTTTTCAGCTTTAATACTGTTTCGTCTGCATAACGAGGATTATCTATATTATAACCTCAAACTAGTATTCCTGGTATATCCTTGACCTCCCTTTTTATTATTACACTATAGAGAGATAACAAATCGGGTGACAAAACACATCCTTCTCTCACTCCTTGCCTTAACTGTTCATACATAACTGCCTACTTTATTTCCCAATTTAATTGCTGCTGCTTGCTTCCAGTAAATATTTTTGTTTTCAATTATTCTGAGATCTTTTTAATCAGTGTTAATATCATCTTTTAATTTTAGTATTTCATCACGTTTCACTTTATCAAAAGCTTTGGTATATAAAATAACATTAAAATTAAAATAAAAAATAAAAATAAAAAAGAATCATTACAGAAAAACAGTTGTAGTAAATGATCCTTTTCACAGCAGCGACGTATTGAATATTTTGTAAAGTAAAATAGTATATAAAAATCGTTCCTAACACAGCTTTGATTCAGCTACAATATAGGCAGGCCATAAATATGGCCAAATGCCTGAACGCGGTTTCTGGGACCTCTCCACGGCGATCCTCATCCGCATGGTGGCACTTTGTGTCATCGGGTGTTTATCGCCTGTGTGATGTCCTGGTGGAGTAGAAAGTCAGTCAGTCAGCTTTGATTTAAGACGCATCACATAATTAATGCATTAAGAAGACAACCATAATGTATTATGTAGTTTAATGGACACACATGCATGTAATTTTAGATACATATTTTCAAGCAAAGGCCAATCGGCACTCAGTGAGTGATGTGGACGACCAGCCGGCTCTACTTCCTGTGACACTTTCTGGTGACCATTTAAGGCAGGGTTGACGTGGCAACAATGTCATTTTAGCACACAAAAAATCTGACTCAATATGGATTTGAAACCACAACTTTCGGATCTGCAGGAGGGTGTCTAGCCACTACACTACGACGTCTCTCTAACTGGCATTATCTTGTCATCCCTTTGTGGGATGCAATTTTTCGTTATATAAAGCCCTACTCTGGCTCTTGCCAGGGGCCGCAATATAGCCCGGCCATACGTATGGTCTAATGGCCAAACGCGAATTAGATAGGTCTCTCTGAATATCATTAACATTTGTGAGGCAATTTTTCGTTATTTTGAAGCCCCACCCCGGCTCCACTCAGTCCTTAAGAAAGAGAATAGGGGCTTTTGAGCTGAAATGCTATAGACTGATTCTCAGAATATCTTGGACAAAGAAGATGAGAAATATTGACATCTTAAAAGATCTGAACATCAAGGAAGATTGGCTAATAAACAGCATCCTTTCTCGAAAGCTGAAATATTTTGGTCATATCAAGCGACGGATTGGAAAAAAATTATAGCAGAAGGCATGGTACCAGGAAGGAGGGGCAGAGGCCGACCGACACGAAGATGGGCACAGGATATAAGTGACTCCTTGAGTGTGAAAGTTCATGAGGCGGGAGAACTGGCAAGAGACAGAGTTTCTTACAGGCAGTCTGTGATGAGAGCGACGTTCTGTAAAGGACCTGCTACATGATGATAATGACCCCGGCTTTTGCCGGGGGGCCGCAATAAAACCTGAAGGCTAAACGCGGTTTTGGGGACCTTTCCCCGGTTGATCCTCGTCCGCATGGTGGCACTTTGTTTAACGGGGTGATTGTCCCTCTGTGTGATGTCCTAGTGGGGTAAAATGTACTTACTTAATTAATCTTTGAATTACAAATAATGCAAGGGAAACTATTGCAGACGGACAATTGTGTAATTTATAATCCAGAAAGAAAAATTGTTCGAGTGGTTGCCCTTGACCAAGATGTCTACATAACGTCGTTTTGTGGAGGTTCTGGTGTTAAGTCACAGGGACCGCTAGTTGGGACCATTGAGTATAGCAGATAGAACTGGCTTTTCTCTGAGTGAACCGTGAATTTTTATTTCTGAGAGATTAACAATAAAGGGACTGCTTATTAATTTTCAAACAAATATTGAAACTTATTTCACAAAGAAGTAAGTTGTTTACAGTCTACTGATGTTTAGGCTTTTATTAAGTTAATTTTAGTTTTACAAGGCAGTCCCTGGTTAAGTAAATATCGCGCCAGCCACTTGCTACTTGGTGTTTTTGTCTGTACTGTAACTGTTTATCGTGCTGGTATGTTTCAGATTTCACTGGCGGATACTGCAGTGCTTTTACTTTTGGATTTGCAGTTTGAAGTTTTTAAATTATTATTTATAATTATAATAATCGACCTAAAAACATTACTAACAGCATTCATCATCATCATAACATATCAAAAGCCAAAGCAGTTTTTCAAATGAAAGTATTAACATAACACTAACACCATACTATATTGATTATTATTATTATAATTAATTCACTCTTGTTTAGTTATAGAAATGCAACTATTTCCGAACAAAAACTGTTAGTACTAAATAATATAAATATTTTTTTATTCAGGACTAGGAAGCTCCTGTGTTTTTCGTCAGTCTGCCGTAAAACTTACCTTTAGTCGCATCGTGCTAAGTGATGTACATCGTAGAAGGTTCATTCATGGTTCAGTGACTTCAGATATTCTTTTACACGCTGAAGTATCGTGTAACAGTGGGCTGATGCAGTATAATAGTTGATACGCCCGAGTACATAAACTAGGTTAACTTCGGTTAAGTATTCATGTCACCCAACATACATATGGTGCTACGCCCATAGTTTTATTAGACCAGTGGTTTTCAACTTTTTCAGGTGGCGACCCCTTGAATATGGCAGGAAACTCAGGCCCCCTCCCCCTCAACCCAACCCTAAATTAAAAATTTTTTATTAAAAACATTAGGATGAAAAATCGTTTCAAGCCATAGACAGAACTTGGAGAAAAAAGTCCACATAAATCAGAGTAACAAATAACAGTCCCCTTGTGGACCTACTACACATAATGATGATGATGGACAATCTAAGGAAACCTGGAGAAGAACAATAGAAAGGGAAATAAAGGAATTGTAAAATGACATGGGATACCATGGACAGAAATACAGCAGACCGGCAGCAGTGATCTTATCTCAGACTTGATATTTTTATCAGATTTGATGAGAAACCGCAACATTCTACTCTGTACAGTTAAAATGCATGTAATATTTCAAATTTGAGATGTTCCCAAAATGGTTTCCAGGTCCTATTGAAGAAGGGGAAGAGGGGGGGGGGGGGGGGTGGGGGGGGGGGGAGACCCACAGCCCCCTAACAAGCATGTGACAAAAGACAACTAATTAGGGAATTGCTGAAATCAAATATTTTGGTGAAAAAAGATGTGTATTGCAGCTCAGCTGTAAACCGCAACACAGTGTGCCAGCTACCTGTTTAATGGCAAACAGAAAAAGACATTTTAGTGGTTATGGAAATATTTAATGTTTTATTTCCTATACATTTTTTTTTATTGTAATGAGTTGCTTGCTGTCTTTGTTAATCATATCAGAGAGTACAAATTCTATTTCAGTAGTGCTTTCATCAGGAAACTCAAGTATCTGCCATTATTAATAGTAATTTTAACGAACGTGGAATGGCAGAAGCCAGTTCTGATCATGTAGACAACAGTACAGCTCAAAGAAAAGGACACCACCAGCATGCACATCATGCTCACTTTGTTGAACCACATAAAAAAGGTGAGATGTTTATTTTTCTGTTGCTGTCATTGTTACATTGACAGTGCTTGTTTGTGATTTGTGCGTATTTGTAATTTACGGCGCTTATATATGATTTAGTGAAATCTTACTTCGAAGCTGCAGAGATGTAGTTTTATAGATGTGTGATGAGAAAACCCTGGACAGATCAAAGAGTAATGAAGATGTCTTGTAAAAAACTGACTCACGAAGAGAACTGATTGCCCACATCAGAAAGAGACACTCTACCTTCTTTGGTCATATGAGGAGAAATAGAAAACTGGAGTACATCGTGACAGTAGGAAAGTTGGAGGGGAGGAGAGGCAGAGGAAGACCGAAAGAAAAGATACTGGACAGTTTGACATCATGACTCTGTGACAGGGTTGATTGAAAGTATACGAGACAGAAGGTTGCAGAAACACATAACTAGCAACGTCACATGGCGTGGACTCTAATAACGAAGAAGATATGGTATTTATGATACTTAGATAAGATTTGAGGTCGGATTAAGATATTGCAATGAAGTTATTTATCTAAGTTAAACAGTAACAGCCAGAGGATAATAATTTTTTACAAAAAAAAATCAGCCACCATCAAGAATCCTCTTCTTCTACCCTTCTTTCTTTTGTTCGAGATAAGCCCCCAATAATGAACTGCACAGTTGTTATGTTGTTTGTTGTCTTGTCCAGCTCGTACATCCTGAGCACTATTATATTATTCATCTCTCTCCCTCTCTCTCTCTCTCTAAATATGTTGTCTAGATTAATTACAATGGTTTATTGGTCAAGGACAGGACAAAAGTGATGTTATCAATGCCATGCGCTGCACGCCAAAGGACATGACTCCTTATGCCTGTCTAGACTAATGTGACATGGGAGTGCGGCCTGGAGCTGCAAGAAATAAACATTTCACTAAGGGGACGAGACGTTTTATTAACCAACACACAACAGACGTCATCAGTCGTTTTACACTTGTGGAGCTTTTGAGGAGGAGATCGGAGCACCTATGGATCTGTCCGGAGTGCTGTTATGATAATCCTTTCTAATTGCTAATCATTGTGGTTAGAAATGTAGATGTAGATTTGAGCATATTGTGATGCTTGTATTTCGTATTTAGTTGCTGTTGATAATGTTTACTATTACTTATTAACAGATGTATGAATGAAATGGTGAATGAAAGGAGAGAGATTAGAAGGGCAGTGTGGTGGTTAGGCCTGCCTGCCTAGTTCTTATCCCTTTGAAAGTAAAGTTTGTTTGTTCATTCATTCAAATTCTAATCCCTGTGTGGTTTTGAGTTTATTTCTATTTTGTTTTTCTTTTATGTATTATGATGCAAGGACACTAGTAATATTGTTATCAGGTATCCAACTTGTCCAATGCCAACATCTTTTCCTCACCTCAGAAGAGTTAGTGTTATAATTATCTACTAGACAGCTTGTTCATTGACTTGTAGATGATCTGGATGCTCATGATTCCAAAATCCTGGTTGAACCGATCAGTGATGACAGTATCAATGTACGACTAGGCTTCCTTCAGATCAGACACATTTATGAAGTACATTTTGCCATTGAGGATAATCTGGGAGAAGATCTTACATATGACCCTTTGGAGAATCTCCACGCAAAAATTGAATCAGCGTATCCCACAGATGATGGTAAGTAACATTTGTTCTCATAGGTAGAAATGTATGCGTTACAGCCAATCTCAAATGCACACAACAATAATAATAATGAACATATTCTAGAATACAGCTGAGGTCAGGTGGGATTTTCCTTTTCTCATTATCTTACCTTCACATGCAATCCTCAGAGAATTCTGGAAATTATCTAGCACCCATTTTTATGTATGTTATAAAAAAAACTAAAATAATAAAATTTGAAATAAAGCAGGCTACCTTAGGAAATAAATAGTAAAATCCTAGAAAGCAAACATTGTTCATTATTCGTTTAAAGATCAGTTTCATCGCACATAGGACATGACCATAAATACTCTGATCACGTCCTGAGTAAAAGAATGGTGATAAGAAAACAAGCAACGCTGAGAGAAACAAATTATAATGCTAGAAAAGAGGAATTCCTACTTAAAAAAAAAAAAAATTATATTTCTAGACTAACTATTTACTTCTTATTTCTCATGTGATTGGAAAACAGATTACCTGATCTATATTGGCCAGTGATTCCAGCTTTCAACTTTTAGTTAGCATCTTACTGATTATAGTCCTTGAATCAGTAAACAGTGAATGTTAAATATGTAAATAATTTAATTCTTCTTCATTTTCTTCTCACTGATGCCAGGTCGTAGCCTAGTGTCATGGTTTTCTATATTTATCTTGCACTTCTCAGGTGGCTTGGCTGATGGATTTGTTCATCTTTTTGCAGGTTTTGGCTACCTATTTATCCATATCTTTCTTGGTCTTCCTCTCGCCTTCCTCCCAGATATTCTGGAAAAAAGTCATTATCTAAATTAAATTCTTATAGTCTTTGAGATCATACCGTTTTCAAATAACATCTGGTTTAAAGCAAGGTGATACTTTGTCCCCACCTCTGTTCAACTTGGCCCTGGTGAAAATTATAAGGAAATTGAAACAAGAGTGTACTGTAGGAGAAACTACAAGAATCCCTGTTTATGCAGATGGCATTGATATTGTTGGAGAAAATGAACTAGAGATTGTAAAAACACTGACTCTCTTAAAAGAAGCATCTCACAAAATGGGACTAGTTATCAATCAAGATAAGACAGAATACATGATAATAACAAAAGAGGGAAAGTATATAAACTCTGGCCTCATACAAGTCTATAATATAAAACTCAAACGAACGGAAACATATAAGTATTGGGGTGCAAACTTCAACTGCTTCAACGTGTTGAGAGAAGAAATACTATTTAGAATACAATCTGGAAATAAAATATACAATGCCCTTCAACATCTGTTAAAGTCAAAGTCTATCTCGCAACACCAATATCAAAATATATAAAACATTGATAAGACCAGTCGTTTTATATGGCTATGAAACTTGGAGCACTACTAAAAGAGATGAAGGCTTATTACAAGTTTTCAAAAACAGTATTATGACAAATCTTTGGACCTATTAAAGATGTTAACAGTGGGGCATGAAGCATGAGAAGCAACAACCAAATTCAGAATATGTTTCAATCACCATTGATCACTGGCATCTTGAGAGCTAATAGGTTGAAATGGCTTGGGTATATTGAGAAAATTTCAGATGATAGAGATGTAAAAACTGTATACACCAGGGAGATGAATAGTTGGAGACCACGAGTCAGACCAAGAAGATGATGCAGAGATAATGTCCAGAGAGACCAGAAAACAGTTAGTGTTACCAACTGGAAAGAGAAGGCCAACCAGAGAGATGGGTGGAGGAGTGTGATATCAGCAGCAGCGAACCTCAAAGGCTTGGAATGCTGAAGAAGGAGAGGAATAGTCTGGGAAGGATAATCTAGACAACAAATATCCCAAGAACTTGGATGCATCAACCAGAAGATACAAATATTACAGCGATTCTGTAAACAGGCACACCAAAGTAGGGCTGTACCGAATATTCGATTCAGGGCCGAATAGTAGACCTATTGACTATTCAGTATTCGGCCAAATAGCTGCGGTTGGGCCGAATACGAATAATAGTTACCATACACCCGCTTCTGCATACACGGCCTTAATACTGACAACATGGGACAATTGGTTTTGTTGAAAGCTAATGCATGAAAAAAATTATAAAGGAGCAGTGGAATGATTTTTTTTTCATTCAAACAGCCCGGTATGAAACTTAACATATTAACCACCAGTATCGTCTGATATAAAATTATGGAGCTGTCACCATACACTTAGTTTTCTTTAGGGGGAGGGGGTGGTGGTCTCCGAGGCAAAGTGGTTAAGATGTTTACCTTGCGCAATGGTTGTGTGTTCACTTTACAGCTGTGTCGTTTGGTTCAGGAGTGCAGTTTGAACAGATACCCCCTGGGATTATCACTGGGGCTGCAGTACTTGTGCTGTGTACAATAATCTTGGCAGTCAGCTAACTTTTTTGTGGGGGAAGGGGGGGGGGGGAGACCAAGCCATATGGGATCAAACCTAGTACGATGAAGTTGGTCCTCTCGACTGTAACCTTAAACTGTTAATCAAATTTCCTTCGTGGTGTTAAACTGGGTTTTCTACTCTGCTGCTTTAAAGCAAATGACTAACAATTCAAGAAGCTGTTAAGAAATTAACCTGCAAAGTTTGTCTTGTAAATATTTAAGTTTAAATAAATTTAAAGATGAATACCTTCTGCCAATCCAGACATTCCTTCAGCCAATGGTTCTGTATTCTGAGTTTAGGAAAAGGACATGAATTTATCCTGAGATTTAATGCTGCTAAGGAAAAGATTATGCAAGAAGTGGTCACAGTTCAGAGCAAAGATGACAGTTCAAAGAAAATGGTCCTAGTATTCCATGCCAGAGTTTTGGGTGAGTGTATTATTTAACACATGATTCTGTTAACAATATATCTGCCTGTCTGTTCATTAGTTTGGAGCCAGTCGACAATAAGATACCTCAAAAATATAGTGGAAACATGATTTTAACACTTCTGGTTTTTCCTTTTTTTTTTTTTTTTTGCATTCAGTGGCTGTAAACTCTGACAGAAAGCTCTGCTTGTTTGTCCACATTTAGACTTTAGTTATTCAGTGAGAACTAGGTTACTGTTACCTTGGATGGATTAATACTTGCCCCTGAGATATAGCACTAAAATGATATATAATCTCATTTCTTTTGTAACTCAGAGATTATTTCCACTCTGCTGCTGTCTGTCAGTATATGAGGATGTCATCCGCATATGAGAGAGTTCTTCAGTTGTTCTCACATGACCTTGATAGTATGGATATTGAATAGGGCTGACACTAAATCACTAAAACATCTGAAACTAACACGATTGCATGACCTGGGAGTGAAGCATGGTGAATCACGTCCATGCTTCCTTTGAGGCTGAGATGGGAGACATTATAGCCAGCTCCTCATATGAATACATTGGATTGGCTGCTGCATCAGAGGACTGAGCATGCATGAGAATATGCAGTGGCGTTGATTGTGATTGTGATAAACATAACATAATATTTTATAGATGTTTCTTCTTCTGCCTTTCTAACCCCCAATGGAGCATAGGCCCTCAACAAACTCACGCCAGGTCATTTTAATCCTTTGCTATTGCATGTAGCTCTCCCCACATCCTCCCCATCTTTTCAACTTCACTATCTAGCTTCCTTCATATTTTTTTTTGGGGGGGGGGGTGAAGGGGGGGGGGGGGTCTTCCTTTATTTCTATGCCCCTGTAAGTTCCAGTGCAATGGCATTCTAGTTGTTCTCAGGTTTTCTCCTATCCAATGCTGCATCTTTTCTTCACATCTTTGTCCACCCTAACTTGTTTAGTCCTCTCCCAAAGCTCCACATTAGTGATTCTGTCATACCATTTAATTCCCTTTATTCTGCCCAGGCACCAGTTTCTCCCAAAGCTCCACATTAGTGATTCTATCATACCATTTAATTCCCTTTATTCTGCCCAGGCACCAGTCTCTCCCAAAGCTCCACATTAGTGATTCTATCATACCATTTAATTCCCTTTATTCTGCCCAGGCACCAGTTTCTCCCAAAGCTCCACATTAGTGATTCTATCATACCATTTAATTCCCTTTATTCTGCTCAGGCACCAGTTAATGAATGTAGTTTGTTACTAATTGCCTTAGTTGTTCCCCATATTTCCACTCCATACAACAGTACTGATTTGACATTAGAATTAGGAAATTTAAGTTTATTAGTTTTAATTTCTTTTGACCTCCACAGATTCCCTAGCGCTGTGGAAGCTCCTCTTGCCTTTTGTGTTCTGTTTTAATATCTCTCTACGGATCTGTTGTAATGTTATAAAATCTGGATATGTAGAAATACATAAACATGTATGTTCAGTGATGTTATAAAATGTGGATGTGTAGCATTGTGTGAAATATCGATGTTTTGTAATGTGTAAAACAAGAATGAATAGTGGAGATGTGTGAAATATGGATGTGTAGTGATGTGTAAAGCATGGATGTGTTTCCAAACATGATTGTGTGGTGCACATGTAAAGAATAGCAAAGATAATGAGCATTTGTGTTGCTTTTGGTACATAGGTAAGGGAAAAGGGACTCCGTCACTGAAGCAAGGAATTCACTGTGTCAGGGTGGACCGCGATGATGAAACAGATGACAGCGACTGGCAAGGATTTTGATTTCCCCAAACAGCACCAAGTTGAATCATATTTGTTTTTAAACTGTACCACATTTATGTGTTAATAAAAGACTCCTAGTTTTATCATTTTGTTTGTTTTGTTTAAAATATACCACATATACATTTTAATCAAGTTAGTAAAATTGTGTACTTCAATATCTCCTCATCTTTATTGTTACCCTGTAGTTTTGGATGAACTGTAAGGTGTAAAATCGGTTTTTACCACAAAACAGCAAGATGCATTCATCTGAAACACTGCTCCATTGAAACTTTATTTGGTACATCTACAGCCCCTGTAATTTATTCAGGTTATTAAAATTTGGCAGCGTCCGTGGCTAAGGCGTTGCGAGTCTGACTCGTAATCCAACGTACCGCGATCGAAACCCATTGCGGGCTGCGTGGATTTTTAAATAAAATCCCCCCCCCCCCTCCCGCCGCCCCTTTGCCTTTTACCATACATGCTGTGAAAGCAACTAACTTAGGGTTAGCTGAAATCATATAAGTGCAGATATCACAGCCTAGCTGTAAACCACAGCACAATATGAAAACCACCATTTTGTGGGAAAATGCAAAGAAGATAATAAGTATATTCCTAACTGATGATTGGCACTCAGAGAAGCAGAGGAACGAGTAGAGACAGAAGAACACACTTTACAGCAATAAGGTCAAGAAGACCAGTATTCCCTAAAGTGTTTTCAGCATGTCCCCCAACTATAAATTAAATTTATCATAGTTCATACCGCCAGCAAACATTCTGAGAACAGGCATCTTTCAAATGGCATCATGGAAAATGAACTGTGGACCATTTTGCTATCAGCTATAGGAGACAATTCCCAGGTCGACCCAGCCTTGAATGGGTTCCAAATGGAGTCCTGTGAAATAAAGGCAGCTGGCGTGATACTGACCACATCACCCACCGAGTGCTGATTGATGTTTAAAATATAAGTCTAGCCCAAATGCAAAAATACACATGAAGGCGTGGGAAGGGTCCTTTTACTTTTTAAAGAAGAAAATTAGGGCTTAAGAACTTTAATGTTACAAAACACTAAAAAAAACTGAGCACTAAGAAAAACAAATAAATGACTATACAATAGGAGGATAACATCAAGGTAAGAGCAAGCATCAGTCTCAGAGATTGTACAGCCGGGTTTCAAGACAAAGCATATTGCTGATCTGTTACAGCCAGATGGGGGCAGAGCGCTTATGGGGTTCTCCCGAGTGCTGTGGCGTCGATTCTTAATTCAACATTCAACAACAACGAACATTCATGTGGAGACTACATCTGAATAATTGAAAAAGATGAAAAAAATGCAGACATTTTAAAATGTTAGGTTAAAAAAAATTTACTTTCAACTGTAGAAGGATCTTTAAAGACATTTTACTAGCACCTAATTATCTTGTGTTGGAAACGATTATCTACTTTAGGCTTTGTTAACAGAACACTGGGTAATTTTTGCCAAATTGGATAAGGTACAGAATTTGCTTCAGTAGATTAACACTTTGTGCTGAGGTGTAGCTACAGAGACATAATAGTTAGTGCTTGCCTGTAAAGACAATGGTCCAGCTTCAGTTCTTAGCATCCTCGTGTGGATTTCAGAGCCCCATTGTGGGGTAAATTAAGAATAAACCCGCTGCCTCCTCCCCGTCAAGCATGTCATAGAAGTCAACTAATCTGGAGCATCCTTCGAAGTCTGAGTACATCTGCCTGAGAGATAAAGAACCAGGAGTCTGCATGAAAATAAGTGAGATGAAATGAATACCAAATAATTTTCTGAACAAACGTGGGTGTCTGGGAATTTTCATTTTTCCACGAGACATGTTTGCCATTCTCTTTAAACGTAATTTTTATCATAATGGCTGTTTATATGCTGATATTTGTATACCTTAAACAACGGATTAACATCATGGCACACAGGTAGTAACCCAAAAGTGCTCCTTTCTCCTTCTAACTCAAGTCTGAGTCTAAAGAAGCTCAGCAAAGAGCACAGGCTCTGTAGGACCGCATGGATCCTGAAATACTTTGGGTAGATTTTTAACCTCAAATTTTCCTGGACAGTGCTGCTGGGCTACTATTTTCAATTTCCAACTGCCAAGGGATTTTTTACATGCGCAATAATGCACATGGGCGTCTGATTTCACTACCCAGAGACCAGGGGAATTACTAGAAGTCCAAGTCCACGTGAAAAAATCCCAGCCCTTACTGGGGATTGAACCTGGAAACTATACCTCGAGACCACGCAGCCCCCTTGTTATTTGTATACTGTGGGTATCCTGTTTGTAATTCCTTCTGAAGTCTTTGTATTTGTTTTATAGTTAAAATTACATAATTTGTTATAGACTTTTATAATAAACAAGTAAGGCCAATTTTCACTACTTGTTTTACGTTAAAACTATGTGTATATTTTAAATACATTATTTGTAATTGTTTTTACACCATTTAATATATACATTGTCACCTTTGTTGGTTTCTATTTACAAATTGTTATCATTCAGTTTTTGACAATGCCTCATTGTGCAGCTCATGCATACTTGAATATATAATTGTTGTTATTTGAGAGTCAGCCCTTTTCCAAACAATTTATTAAGTGATATTTGTTTTTAACTCTTAATCTTCCAGGAATACATATGTTCGTTTGTTGAAATGAAGGTTCTTTCTAATCATGTTCTTTTCTCTAGTTTATATATTTGTATCTCAATGACGGATATGGCACTAGTTCCAGTTTTCCCTGTTGGCACACTTTGGGTGTTATGAACAAGTGGTTCCCAAATTGCTATGACCTGCTATCTTTTTATCGAAAGTCTGCCATAGACCTGATACTTCTTGAATCTTCAATAATGTAAAGTTTTGCAGAGGACACCATAGTGACGAAATAGTTGTGGTGCAAAATCATGAATGCTTTACTTTCAAAGTGACACTATACATAGCTGTAGTGGCCGATGGGGGAAGCCAGATTTCTCTAGTATTTTCTGACCAAATAATGATAAATGTAAGAGAGCGCATTATGCTGTGAGGGGAATCAAATGATGCATTCTTTAATTACTTGGGACTAAAAGAGTTAATTGTTCATACTTATAAAATCATTAGAGTGTATAAAATATAACAGTCATAACAATGATTGCATTCTAAAGTTAACGTTTTTTTTTTTTTAAAGACAACATGACATAATCCTGTTAATAAAAGGTCTCGCTTTGTGTAATTTTTAATCTTTTTTTCTGGATCTTCTATACAATTGTTAGATTTTGCTGTGTTGCATCTGTAATCAAATTGTGCTGCTGTACTTGCATCAAATGATATTATTCTCCGAGCATATGTACTCATGAACATTTTCAGTGTCCAAATGATTTTATACATTGATCATTTTGACATGACTTGGGCATTATTTCTGTGTAATCGAAGGCAAAATTAACACCAGATTAACTCATTCTCCTTCTTTTTCCTAGCGTTCACCGGCTGTAAATTCAGATGGAAAGTTCTTGTTGTTCATACACGTTTTCAACTTTGCTGTTGTTCCTGAAATTGAGTTTTGTGTGCACATCCATTTTACAAACATGGCTTCTAGTATGCAGACTATTGGTTTATCACCTTTTATGCAGATGCACTCTGATGTTGATGAAAACACAATAGAGTAGTCACCCTTTATAACATGCTCGTTGTGGAGGCAATGGGTCTATTCTTCCACCCCCAACCCCCTCTCCACCCCAGGGACAGGCCTGCAGAACAAATTAAAGGGATCCTTGACGCCTTCTCCCCCGCCCCCCCCCCCCCCTTTAAAAAAAAACCTAAACTTTATGACTGTTATAAAAGAAAAAGGAGCTGGCAGGTCTCAGCTAATTGACAACAACTGGTCCAAACCCCTGGCTTACTTAGTGCTGAGAAATAATGGACAGGTGTAGATAGGGCATTTTCTTGACTATTGTGCGGCCTCCCATAAAAGTTCTGGAAGTTTCTAAAGATATAGAACAGAATAAAACAAAACACAGAAACAGCTGAGAAAGTTAGCATAATTGCAGATTGTCATATGTAGTGTCTTCATTGAGAATTTGGAAAATAATAAAGTTTGAAAATATTGTTTTCTTCTTTACACGACTTTGAATGTCGTATTTGTGATTTAAAAGTTAGTTGCATATTCTTTAATGGATGTTGCAGAACCAACAGCAGCAATTTTTTTTGTGGTCTGTTATGGTTTTTGTAGGCAAATTTGACGTTCAGTAGTTTGACAGCCTCTCAACGGTCGGCTTTTGGTACTACTGTCGAAACCAACACAAGACATTCTGCTGCCAAATCACCTGCAGCTGGAATCGAACCCAGCATTACAAAGCGCGTCCAAAAAGCAGACTTTGTGATTACCCAGAGTTGTAATTCAAAGAATTCTTTGTTAGGTAAAAGTGATATTTTGAAAATAAAATCTAGTATGCTATTTGTTAGTGTGGGGATGTGTGTGCGTGAAATCTACCTATGTATTCTAGGGCCACATTTGGGGCTAAGACTTTCTGCCAACACATTTGACTTCAGTAAACTCTAAATTAGCGCCTTTTACGACATTCATTTTACCTGTGTGACTGTTATTCCACTATGGCCTGCTACATGAGAGAGTAACACTCTTGTGACTTTAAAAATGACCTCCTGGATACCAGTCCAAGAGGAGAAATCCAGTCACCCAACACTTTTATAATTAGGACACTTGAAACATCTACACCCAGTACTTCCCTGTACCTTCCTGTCGTAGATGAAAGGATGACAAACTGGAGGCTTCTGCCTTTAGATAAAGTGATTGCCTTTTTTTATGTGATGCAGTGGCAAGGAGTGATCACTCAGCATTGTAAGTGTTTGCAGGTAACCATTGCACTGGAGAAGGTATCACATAATATTTTCCTCCTCGTCGCCTTGCTGTTGAGAGTATGCAACTGCAGCTGGCATCATAGTATTAGTAACCTGTAGTTTTCACACGTTACATAATTGATCAAGCCGTTTGCCTCGTGCTCTGAAGGTCGTGGGTTCAT